AGGAGGACAATCGTGTGGCATGTTTTTTAAAACAAACTTATTCAGGTGTGATTTTAATTGCGTCGCTACTTTAACGGAAACACTGCAATTGCGAAATTGAGGTTTTTTTCGACATTAGCGGAACATCGACAAAGTTTAGCACACATTTGTAATGGAAACACAGCCACTGAGAACACATTCGGAAGTCCCAGTTTCGGGCACAATTTATATATTTAACTCTACAGTCTCATGGAAGTGCTATAATGGCTTGACTAAGAAGAGACGAAGAGAAAAGGAACCAAAAAAGAAAAAAAATACTATGGACCCCAAGGTATTCATAGGTGATAGGGAACATATATGGTGATCGCTAAAATCCATAAATAATTGAGACCCTGTCTAACAACATTAATAATTGGCTGTTTCAATAGTTCAGACACCAAATACTATAGAAACTGGTAAAAAGCATACCATCATCTGATTCCGGTCATCAGTCGATTCTTTGGGTGCCTCCAATCCTTTCTTCATGCTGGGAAAACAGGAACCAAAGATTTTGAAATGTATTAGTATTGGACTGGATTTTCCCAGATGGCATCGCAGACGTTTAACTTCAGTACAGTTGGAAAACCTTTGCAGAGGACAGTTTGCTGATCAGATTAGGGTATTTCCTATTACTGATAATCTTTTTAAATCCCACAACTGAAAAGTTTCGACCGTTCCACAAAGACCTCTCTAAACAAATCTTACACTAACTTTATAAAGTCGCTGGTAACGGTGATCATTACAAGCAACTGGCTGGACCTCACTGAAAGAGAAGGTGGAGAGGCTACTAATGCATAGAGTAATGGATTAACTGTTTCAAATGTGTGCAAATGCACAGAGAGCACTTAGTGAGAGGGCATTTGTAGAAGACAGCAGGAGACAGACGGACATCGGAAATCTGAGCGCAGTGAAAGGTACAAAGTGAGTCTGCAGCTGAAAGGAAAGCTGAATCGACTAATTATTTGGTCTTAAGCTTTACGGCATATGACGACACTAAATCAATGGCCCAGCAACAATCTTTTCTTTATTAGCATTGTGTTGTGTTTGAGGTAGTTCAGAACATGAATATAGGCAAATTTACACGGCAGGGTTTTCAGTGACTCGGCAAGTAATCTGACACGGCAAGGGAGAAAGGACAATAGAAAAGAAAAAAATACAACAAAACAAATGCGTGAGTCTATTGCTAGCAGGAGAAATGACTCGTTTTGCCAAAGCCAAAATAGAAATCCTACAACTGCTAAAATCTGACGCTACTCCATTTTTTTCACATTTTATGAAGAAGAAAGTTGCGCTCACTGTCTTCTTCAGAGGCTTTTCTGTTTCCTTCCATGATTATTGGTGCAGCGCCACCACAAGCGAGTGGCTGAACAGGCTTTTCAAAGTGTTTAGTTCATTTGACACAGTGCAGTGTGAAAACGAACCGCAACAGCTGAACATGTAACAAAATTGCAGTTTTGAACCCCAATTTTGAATCGAACTGAGTCTACCAGACAATCGGGCATAAAAACACTCCTAATGTGCACACTGCTAACCTGGGACTACTAATGATATGCTAAAATCACAGTGCCATCACATGGCCTGGCATGACAACTGTTCCAAGGAGTCTAAGCCCCGCCATCTGAATGTGGAACTTTTTCCCAGTCAGCATCTGAAACTGCAGGAAGTTTCCAGGCAGCGGTCTCGTGTAAACCTAGCCTCAGAATCTACTGTGATTTCAGTGACAGGAACACGTGGGCAACCTGCAATGCAGCTAAAAATGTAGCAGAAAGTAGAAAAAAGAGAGCTTTTAGATGCATATGGCAAATAAATATTTGCCAGAAAGGAAATAGGAGGTAAAGTGCTAACAGAAGTATGAAAGAGAAAATGATCGATGGAGTCAGACAAAAGAAAACATCCAGTCCTGCTGCCGTCTCCGGAGGATGCAGCTGAAATCTGATCTAAGGCAGGAAGTGGCCATCACTCTACCTCCCTGACTGCCGAACACTAGAAGGAGACACACACATCACGGTGTAATATTGCACCTGATGTTTTCCTCTTATTAACTAAAGGACACATGCGACTGGCCTATTAATTAACTGCTGTTTTAATCTCTTTTAGTCGCAGTCCAGCCTCTGTTAAAACCCCCCCCCCCCCCCTCCTGTTTAATTGGATTTTACAACAATGTGCAAAAAAAGGGATCATCATTCTCTTTTAGGTAATAAGTAGTCACTCTTTCATTTTATAGAACAGGAGTCACAGTTATAGCTCTGGGCTTTTTGCAGCAGTCGGCAGCGACAATAAAAGTTTTTATGTAGAGCAAATGAAAATAAGAATAATGGGAGAAAATCCATGGATTTGTAGAAAAAAAAGGAAAAAAAATGTTCAGCACATTTGTAAATATGCAAAGCAGTCATCCTCCAAGTGATGGCTCAGCGTTTTAGAAGTGAGGTTCTGCTAAAAAAAAAAAAGAAAAGTCGGTAATATCTTACCAGATAACTATTTATGTTTTTATTTGGTGTTAAAACAGACCAGAGGCCTAAACTGAGAGAAGTTCAAAACAATTTCAATATTGATTTATTGTTGTTATGATAAATACTGATTAATGATGTTTAAAAAAAAAATGTAAATACATTTAATACAAATCTCACTTCCCTATATAACTGGCATCCAAAAGAGAAGTATTACAAACTAAGTTCTGTATTTGTGTTTATGATTGCTGTGCCATGCAGTCACACCCAAACAGTTCCCTGAAAAGAAGTATTAAATATTTTTTATCATCATTTTTATTGTTATCACTAAATAAAACTTTTAAGTCCATAACACCCACCCCAAGATTAAGATGGAAAAAAAATGGAGCAGTTTTGAAACCATATATTTTTAAAACCAGTCATGTTGACTTTCTATTACTGGAAGGAAGTTTATATTTTCTTATCAGATTTTTTATTGGATTTTGTAGTTCTTTTCGGTCCAGATTAAGAGGGAATGCGTTGGAAGAGGTAGGATGTGGCTGCTGAAGGTGTTCAGCACTTGACTCCCACTCGGAGGTTTGGGGTTTGAGTCCCACTGGAGACCTTCTATTTTTAGGTTTTGACTATGCCAGAGGTTTTGTGTGGGAGGAGCTAAGCGGGCAGCAGGACATTTATCCTCCGCATTTTTAGTTGCTTTTGTCTTTACCAGAGTTCTGCCTCAGCTTTAACATGGACTCAAATGAATGATAAAAACAATGAATTTAAAGATGAAAAATATGAACTATGAAAGTTTTTTTTTTAAATCACACTTCCCATTCAGTGAAATTGAGGGTAAATCCAAAGCTGCTATGCTCTGCCTCCGCATTCACTAAATCCTCAATTACATAAATTACAAGGCATAAAAAGTTGTTTTTTTTCTGTGCTGAAGCATCTCAGTTTTTAGTGCATATGACTTCCCCTATCATCTGAAGCTCGCATAAATATGGATGTGCATATTGTTACACAAGTATAAGGAGAAAGACAAGAGGGGCACAGTGTTACTGGGACAGTTTAATGGCTACAGAATGTGGGTGTGGAGTGAGAACAGAAGTCAGGAAAAAAAAAACAGCGGAAGAGGATGAAGGCCAGATTATTGTGAGGAGATAACCACAGCCATGTTTGGCAATCTTGAGTTTTCTGGCATGCTGTTAATATTTGTTTTATTAGTTTTTGATGTTCAGATTCATGTATGCTATAATCTTAAAAATGAGATATTGTATATACTTTATAGTGTCATTTTATAGCACAATAGAGTAATTATGTTATCTTCAGTTGTTATAAAAATCCAGTACATATCAAAAATAACAAAAGAAATTTGTCTTTGCAGTTTAGCGCCTGGAAATTGGCCCCTATCTCTTTAAGAAGCATCTCACTATCTGGGAGCTGACAGAGTTTCATTTCATTTCATTTCATTTCGTTTATTTGTAGCTAAACAATAAAGGGTTTTTTTATCACTGCACAGAAAAAATTCCTTGTATTTATGTTTCAATTATCATCAATATCGACTGATATGAAATGCTTAAATTGCTTTTTTTGGGGGGTTTTTTGCCTTGTCACCCAGGCCTACAGAACGCTTTAATGGTTTGGAAATTATTACGTTTTGAAACCTTGGTATACACTGCAGTGGAAAAGTATTTGCTGTCTTAAAAAATTTATTTGATTTTAGATTTTTTTTTTTTTGTGACACATTGAAATCTTTTAGATCGTTAAGCAAATATAATACCTGACATAAGTAACCTGAGGAAATACAAAATTCTGTTTTTAATTTATGTCAGTTGATTTAAGTTATCAAAAGACACATCAATGTAACATTACCAGCACCATATCATATAAAATATGGTATGATTCTGTACTATACCATACCACGCCACGCTGCGCTACGCACCATATCTCGTTACTAGTAACTTGACTTCAAAGTAGACAACAATTTAAATCAATTATTGGCTTACATGTTATTGTATGCTGATTTGATTAAAAAAAATTGTCTATTAAAGAATCAAATCTAGCCACCAGATGTTCTGTTTGCCTTTCACTCGTTTTTCTTGCCTCAGTAATCTCTCCAGTCTCAGTGGATGTAAAGGTGAGAGGAAGATTCGGTCACACAAAGACTTCCATGGGAATTGGGACAGTGCAAAAGTACAGGCTGTTCTTTTTCTTCTTTCTGGCAGGAAAATCCAAATGTTTTCCAGTTTCTCTCTCTATGTCTTCTACTAATCTACTTTACCATGATTAACCCTGATAGAAAGAAATGAAAAGTGTTTTTACATATAAAAAAGAAAAGAAAATTTGAACAAGATTACTAAAAAAAATGGATTTTATTTTCCATTTTTTAGAGGATACAAATACATCCTATGGAGTAGCAATTGTAACTGCTCAGCAACAAGCCAGTTGTTCTTTGTTGTGCTCTTGCCGCAGGGCACTGATGTATGGAGTCGGCTTTCTGTTTGAACAGTGTGCTATATAAATATAACTCTGGTCTCATCTCTATATGCGCAGGTAGAACAACCCTATATCAAGCTGCAGCCATGGATGAGATGGACCTGCCCCAGATGAAGAAGGAGGTGGAGAGCCTCAAATACCAGCTGGCCTTCAAACGAGAGAAATCCTCCAAAACGGTCACAGAGTGAGTATATAGGCCTCAGCTGTAAACCCTTACAGAGAAATGTCTGCAAGGTCTGACTGCACCATACAGTATTCATACCTGTTGTACGTCATACAAATGCCATATCATGTTATACCATACCGCACCACAACATAATATCCCATTCTATACCATCATACCATACCATACCACACCATGACATACTGGGAATACAAAAATGTTTTTCATTTCTTTCTTTCTACAAAGTTTGGTCAAGTGGATTGAGGATGGCGTTCCCGAGGATCCCTTTCTAAACCCAGAGCTGATGAAGAACAACCCATGGGTGGAGAAAGGCAAATGCATCCTCCTCTAGGGAGACGAAGCATCCATCCTCCCAGGACCTCCCGTATCAACAGTAACCCTACAGATGATCCCTGAAGCTGACCCGGACTGTGAGGGCAGTGGCCGGACAGCGCCCAACGTGACCTCACCATGAATGTACTACAGCTGTTACCCCCCACCTCACCCTAGACACAGGCACACACACAACCACAAGGGCACAGAAACACTCACTGACACTCGCACACATCATCGCTCTAAACCTTGTCTGACTCTTTCTCTGCAAGTTTATTCCTGCCACGGCAATCTAGCATTACTATGATATGAGAGCAACAATAATTTCTTGTACTACACTGGTTTGTATGAATATACTGTTGATTATTTATTTATTCTGCTGCCAATTGCAATCTTGTTTTTTTTTTAAGTCCCACTTTAATGCGTTAGTGATGTGTAATACAATGTTGAATCACATTCTCACTGCCAGACTGACTGTAGGTGGAAGAAATGTAAGACTTTCATTATCATTAAAAACATCGTCATATTTACTTACTTTTAACTAAAATGAAAGATTTCCCAAGTAAAGAGGTTAGTAAAAGAAATAAAACTTACTAAAACAGAGAATTCACCAATAACAATGCTTAACAGTGAGTAAGTAACTCCTTCAATACAAACATTTGCTTTTACTGTGTAATTGACATAGATGTACATAAAATACTGATGTTAAGAACAGCAGAGAAAGATCTTGTAAATCTTAACAGCTTAGCTAAACATTATCTGTTAGCAAACAGTTCAATTTAGGTCCAATCCATGCTAACAAAATAGTCTCCAGAATGGAGCATGCAGGTGGACATGTTGAATGACCCTTTTCAAAGTTTGGAATAAAAAAAGTCTGTTTTGAGTATACTTGATGATGAACTGGTAGCCCACTTTGTGCAGATTGCTTTCCAAGTAAGACCAACAAATCAGCCATTATCATGGGTTTTTGCTTCAGTTTGTTCTCCCTCTGCCACCATAAAATTCAACTGCAAGCTAGAAATTGAAACCATTAACTGTCTGCATGCTAGCGCTATGTTAGGCGTAATGTTAGTCTTTTAAAATAATTGGCACCTACTGGTATGCCATTGGTAATTAAACTTTTCACTAGATTTGTAAAAATTTGTTTGGTTAATTGTATTTGAGACACTCTTGTTTTCTTTCCAGACTGATGGATGTTAGCAACATTTTGTTTTGCTTTTTGAGTTCTTTCAGCCTAATTCATGTTGTCAGAAAGGCACTACAGAAGTGATTTCTTAATGCTACAGATCGTTCAGTCATCACGCCTAGGGGTGAAATGAAGAAAAAAATATCTACTTCAAAAAATATCCATAGAGGTGTGGTTTGAGTTTTCAGTATAAAAGCTAATTTAATTTATTAGCTGTCCAGTCCTTACAAAATGTAACAGTGAAGCATACTGAAATACAACAAAATGTCTCTGGGTTTAACTCTGCTAGCATATTAACAAAGTTAGCGTAGCATAAACGTGAAAGTCATGAAGTATGGCTTCTTTAAACAACAAAAAAGAATGAACTTTTGGACAAGTGAAATACAATTAAAAAAAATTAAAAAAACACCCCTTACGAATTGTGAAAAGAAGTTTTGTCATAGCATTATATTTAGACGCCTCACAGAGTAGCCCCTTTGCTGCAGCACTCACAGTAACATTGTTTTTTCTGGTCACCAAATTATTCACCTGCCACACTGAAAACACAAGAGCAAAAGGAGTCAAATGATTGGATCTAAGGTAGCTGCCTGGACTGGGGCAGAGGGTGAATAATCCACTGCTTTGTACAGGGGCTACAAAACATTTTTACAATTAGTTAGGCTGCCCAAAATGTATTTCATAAACATAATGAAAACATTTGTCATCAATATCATATAGAAACACAGCAATCAATGTAAATGTAGCTAGCAGCAGCCTGCTGCTTGCTAAGTGTGCTGCTACATGTCCAAGTAGCTAATGTTTTCCTGTGGTGTAAAAATCTGACTGACAAGAAATCACTTTAGTTGTAACACTCTCCTACTGAATGTGGCTACTACAACTGATTGAAGAATACCTCCGTGAGTATACTTAGCAATGTTTGTGCAGACTACGCTAGCACCCAAGCTGCTTCCAAAACTAGCTTCCTGTAATGTATGACTGCTGCCCTTTTCAGATTATAAAAAACTTCATTTCAAGGACAATCATCATATTGAGATTTAGCTTGAATGTCATGATGTCGGTAGTTCTCCAAGCGTAGTCATAGCAAAGTGAAACTCTGGGTCTCTGGGGTGGGTTTAGGTTTCTGCTCCCTCTCATCCTGAACCACAGCCCCTAAAGACCACGCACAACCGTGGAGACCAACACAAGAAACCTTTCACACGCATCCCTCCTCACATGTATAGACGGACCCCTTTAACTTATTAACTTATTTATTTATTTATTGAAGAGAACTTTCCTTAACCTTGAGCTTTTTTAAATAGTCGCAACCTTTCCTCTTTCTGTCCTCCTCAAAAAAAAAAAAACAAATAAAAAAAATAAAAGAAAATCACAACAACAAAAAAGCTCCACCTTGCCAGATCACCATCTACTACTGCCTTGTACACAGTTTCCTTAAAACGAGAATGTAAATATGTGGCATGAGGTTCCGACATCACTGCTGACCTCAGAGGTGGCCTGTGAGTGCATGTGACTGCAATCTTATGTTTATGTGTGCATACTTTCAGAAACAAATCTGGACAAGAGGCTCCCATGTGGGCTGCGAAGCGCAAATGCAGCTGCATCGCACACGCACGCACACGCATGGGAGGCTGAACAGATCAGCAACAACACACACACACACACACACACAAATGCACGCTACTCAGTGAGAATGTGTACCAAGGGAGGCTTGGCAAGGACAACGGAGTCTGGACGCGACTTGGGACAGCAGAGCTTCACATCTTCTATGTACTGTAGTAAATCAGATACAGTTTGTGTTTCAGCGGCTGCTCCTGGGAGTTTTACTCTTGAATTATATTTTAACTTTTATTTATTATTATTATTATTATTTTTTGCTATCATCAAGAGTTGCTAAGTAAGTTTAGTCTACCCATGGGCTGTGAAAACATGTTTTACAGTCCAAAAAAAACTTAAAAATAACCAGTTGTGTTCAAAGTGACAGGCCTACACAATGCAAGTAATGTCAAAACATAAAAAATGCTATATTTGTTATTCTACAAAAAGTATCAGAAAAGATATGTTTAAGTACTCCAAGGAATTTTGTCTTCTGTAAAATTACCTCTTGATGCAAACTGACTCATGGTCCCTATGCAATAAATAGGCCAACACCGTAATATGAGAAACATTTCCATACCACGACAACACCTACCACGTTTCCATCAATGTTTATTTTTTGAATTCTCATTTTAAAATATCTTATATGACTGAAACAGCAAAATTCTAAATATCTTACTCAATTTCACAAAAAATATTTTTACACTCACCTCAAGCGTCTTTTTGCGACACTTGAGGCGGTTTTTGGCTTTTTTATATAAAAGAGACAATGTGCTGGAGGGAAGACAGAAGAACATTTGCTGATCGTTCTGATGTAGTGAACTTTTACCTCACTTGACTGATCATTTGTTTCTGCTGTCGGAGTTTGCAGTTATTTCTCCAGACATCATGTAACATCGCCGATACCAGGTGACATGACACAACGTTTAGCAACACATTCCTGAAAACCTCTCTATTTTTCTGGGACATGTGGTCAATGCTAGTTCACAACCTCTACTTCCTGTTTGCTACAACCATGTGTAGCGTCAATAATCTAACAAAGTCACTTTTTGCGTAGCCTGGTTGATTCGCTCCAAACCAATAGTAGTAAAAACGCCTATTTTGCTTTTTTTGTGGATTTTTTTGCGATATTTTAAAAAGTTCGCTCAAAAGTCACATGATAATTGAACGGAAACATAGCTACTGTCTGTACCTCATAGATCCAAATAGACTAACTTTGCGTGGGCCTTTGTAATCTCTTAAACACATCATTTTTTTCAACAGTGATATTTGTTTTCTTCCTCCTTACATAAATGCTGCCTCTTTGATGCCATGTTTTCACTCACACAGTTAATGCCCTCAGTAGTTGAACTCCACACAGCTGCTGTTCAAACGGACCGCTTTCAGTGATTCTATTGCACTGAGCCAGCAGCCTGGCTGTTGGGTCTCTTGGTTTCTACTACTATACAACACCTGCTAGTAAACTGTTTGTAATGTGTAAGAGTTTGTGAATCAGTAGTCCAGTGAAAGCAGTCATTGGACTAGTGATTGGAGTAGAAGTGCTGTTACTTTGAACACAACCAAATCCACAAAATGACATCTCAACAAAGATCTAGAACAATGTTCCTACTATGGAAGAGCTTCCTTTCAGCTTCAATTTGCTTCTGGGCTTCAGGGTTGTAGCCTTTGTACCGTCCACCCGAGTCCTACTGATTATGGTCTTCAATTCTGTAATTTAAAATAACTTTAACATTTAAAGGACTGAAACGTGCTCAGTCCTAAGGGGATCACATGGAAAAGCACCAAATTGTCTGGACTAAACCGACAAAAGACGTACATGAGAGGACTCCTGTCTCTGCCTGTCCCTTGTCTGTTTCATGTCCTGCTTCTGTAGCTTTACTTGTTTGGTTTGTTTTTCGATGAGCTAAACTTGGATGTGGATGTCTACTATTACAACATTACGACTGTATAAGACCTTGTCTAGATATTTAGCAACATATTCTATGTGGGAGTGCTTTGGAAAAATTATGCATCAGATCAAAAAGTCCTAGTATAAGAATGACAATGAGCAATAAATTATAGACCGTTTTTTTATTGAATGTTTTACAAAAACATTTACCTTACTGAATAAAGTAGAAGATTTTTAGACAATCTGGTTGTCTTGGCTGTTTTTTTATACTATAATAAATTCCTCTGTTGTAAGAGATCCGCCCGCTGACACAGAGACGGCCCTCAAGAACAAACGAAGTCTGCAAACTGAAGCAGGATTTTTTTTAAGACTTGTTTTCATCTTTCAGCAGGACAAAAGCATTAAACGTTCAATCAGGGTAACAGCGGATTGGTTTAAATTAGAGATGCACGATGTAACGGCATCAACATCAGTATCGGACGATGTTAGTCGTTTTCTTAACATATCAGCATACTTCTGATAAGCAGACCCCGGTCAATATGAACATGGTGGTCATGAAGTAATGTAGATGATGTGGTCGCTTTTACAGTGTCAAAATTGTAGAAAAATATAGGATATCAGTAAATATCGGTCGGCCGAAAGAGCAGTGATAATATCAAACATCAATATTGGCTAAAATTTTTATATCAGTGCATTCTTAGATTAGAGTAGTGCTTATCCGTGTGATGGAATGGCCCACTCAAAGTCCAAAACCAAGTGAGGATTTGTGGCAAGGCTTGAAAATTGATGCTGACAGATTTTCTGCACCCAGTTTGACACAAGCTGAGCCAATTTGTAGAGAAAAATACATGCTGTACTTTTCAGAAATGTTAACGGTATGCACTAGATTGTGTTAGTCTTTCCTGTTTGATCCCGATAAAATACACGGAACTTTGAATTTATGGTGTGACAAAATGTGTTGAACTTTAAGAGGTGTGAGTATCTTTTGCAACCACTGCACCCACACCTCAGATGATGGTCCACGAAAGGGTCACAGACTGTTGGAATCATCGTAAGGAGTGACGGGAAAAAACAAGGCGGCTGAGGAAAATATAGATTTATTGCAACTGATCTGCAAGATTTCCTTATCTGCTGCGGCCATCGTCTGTATTTATAGCGATAAATGTTTAAATGAATGTGTTAACCTTATTTTTACTGTAGTAGATCAAATGTCAACACAAGGAAAGACTGAAAAACAGAATGCTGGGCAGGAGAGCAGGCCACAAAGAAAGAGACAATGCAAACACTTCCTCCACTCTACAGCTTCTACAGATCATGAATAATAGAGAACGAAATATATGGAAGGACTTTTTACCTCCTGTCAGAACTTTTTGGTCTCTATTTCTGTCCGACTGAGGCTTTTTCTATGCCCTGTCCATCCTGACTCCATACTCAGTGTCAGTCCACACAGTGGATTTTAAAATATGAACTGATGTAGCAAAATATAATTACCAGCTTCTGTAAAAAAACTGTGTGTAACAGATTGAAACATGTCATTCATTCCACATTTAATCTTGATGAAGCTCTCTCCCCTTGAACATTCTTCTGAGACGCACCATTGTTCAGGCGAAAGGTCACTGAAAGACAACATAGTTGGCTTGTAATTTAACTGAATTTGACTTTTTTAAGATGCATTTAAACCTCATGTTGCCAACCAGGCTTTCTGCTCCGTTGTGTAAGACCACCTGATACCAAATTTTGCTATTTGTTCAGTAGGTTAAATTTTTTTTAAAGCATATTCATTGTTCTCTGCTTAAAAATTCCAAGTTCATTTTGTCCAACATTAACTACTTTTATTTACAATAAGTTTTTCTCCAGCAACTTCTTAAATGTTAGTGGATCAACTCTCAGAATACAAATAAGCAGCATCTGCTATCAGGTTTCTGCATGCATGTTTAGGTCTACTTCACACTGACTCATGAAACCTGCAGGTGAAGTCTGCTACAGTAGAGTGATTGTACTGGCTTTTTTTTTTTCAAAGCTGAGTCTGGACTGCATTTGCTTAAAACTGCATATGCAAATCTGTGTGAACTCGATGCATTAGCTCAGGTTTTCAGGTTTAAGTCTGACTCCACCGTCTCTCTGCCCGGCTTTCTCACCAAACAGGTTTAAAGAGGTGCAGCAAAAGCTAACGAGGTGGATTAGCAGCACTTCTAACAACTGATGGTGTCATCCATTACATGATGTGTATGTTTTGGGCTGTGGGCTTGTCTGCTTTTGAATTGCAGCCTAGACACATATTTTCAGATTTATTTTTTTTTTCAGAGGTTTTCCCAGTTCTTGTCTTGAGTTTGAATGTATAATTTTGACCTTGTGTGAATTCCTGAAAGTCCATAATAAATTCAAACTTTGAAAGAAATTGATGATTGTATGACCAGTCCAGCCTGAAAATGCAGAGTTCAGATCTGCATTCCCAGACAGTTCAGGGCTCAGAGAGAGAGAGAGTGAGTACATCTGGATGTTTGTATTTGCATCCAAATAATCAACACCATATTGTTTTCATTGCCAGATGAGCGAAGACTGAGAGTACTTTGTCAATCTGATTAGTTCAAGTTTGCTTAAACAAATTTGAACAGGCTGTTCATCCAAATTTCAAACAAATTAGTTTTGAAAGTTCCTGCCCGCGTTTTGAATGGCAGCTAATGACGACAACGCAGAAACGACTGATTTAAAAGAGAGTAAATATACAGCAAAGTGAAGTTTGGGAAAGTTTATATGTTCAAGGCTGTTCAAAGATAAAAACATAACAACAAACAGAAAAAAAATTACATAACAGTGGCAAAATAAAGAGAAACAAAGGAAAGTTGTAATCCAGTCTAAGATTAATCTGTGTTCCAGTTATTATTAGTCAAAACAAATGAATTTTTAGACCTACTTTACTGATAAACACTGTAAAAGGAGACTGCTTATATGTTTTCTAGTGTCTTCTTTCTGACTCCCTCTATCAGGACATACTTGGGAGAATATATGTTACATGAAATATAGATATAAAAAACATTTACAATAAACTGCACAGAAATCCCCTTGTAAGGTCGAAGGAAGACGTCTAGATTCCTGTAAGGTGGGACAGCTGACTCTAACGCAGGATGTGTCTGTCTGCTTTTAATGGGTCAGATCCCCTCAATCCCTTCCACACACACCAACACACACACACTCCCTAAAGCACTCAACCCCCCATCAACCTCAGTGCTAAATCCTAACCCTGATTGTCCCTTTCCCCTAAAATCCTGAAACCATCACATCTCCTACACACACACACACACACGCACACACACACACACACACACACACACCAGATTCATCCTCAGTCCGTTTCCCCATTCTGTCTGCAGTCAGCGCTAATGCATGGGTTAATGGCCCTCTAACCCCCTCTCCACTCTCAGATTACACTCTTGCACACACCCACACACACACACACACAAATGTGTGCACGCGTGGATTTGTGAGTGCACATTCTGGTCCATGAGTAGACGTACACACATAGATGCAAACAC